CACATTTTCTTAATTCCCCAAACAGGGCAGAGGAGCAGCAACAACAAATTATGAGAAGGGAAAGGAATACAGAGGGAATGGCTCCGGAATGCCCACCTGACTATTTCCATCCAACCAGCAGGTAGCATCGGTTGACAAGAACCGAACAGAGAAAGAATGCTGTCTTGGAGCTGCCAGCAAGGAGATTTTGAGGCACGTCCCAAGCTGAAGGGCTGCCACTCATTTGTATGTTTCGCTGACAAGAAGCCCACAATTTGCATACTATTTTCATCAGCAGAAAGATAGATGGCTTTTTCTTTCAACAGTGAGCAACATCTTTTGTTTATTAAATGATAAGTGTTTCTACACATATCCCCCCCCCCCCGGTCCTACTTCAGGATCTCAAAGGACTGCTGCAGACATAGTACTTGCAATGTCCTAAATACTGAACGCTGCTTGCAAGCCAGCTTTTAACTCAGCAACCCACCGTTAGAGATTATGCAACCTTAGAATGTTTTTCGCGTGGCCAGTGCTAACCCAGGGAAGGAGGGGGATGGGTAGACTCACACGGGCAGGGAAGTGTGCTGGCACCCTGAGCATTCAAGAACTGCTGACCATGGCCAGGTCAGTGCTATGTCCAGACTAGGCCAGAGAGGGCCCTATATTGACACTGTTGCAATGCATTTAACATTTAGTCAATTAGATGCTTTTTAAAAAGATAATTATCAGGTTTTTTAAAAAAAGTCTTGAAACCAGCTGACACTTCAAGGTTTCACCTCATTTTAGTGTTTGGCTAATTACATTTTATATCCTTCCCTTGATCCGGGGGGGGGGGGGGTAATGTGGTTCCCATGTTCATTTTTTACCTTCTCCACAGCCCTTGTAAGGTGGGTTCAGCTGACCACTGATGACTGACCCCCCCCCCAAGGTTATCTAGTGAACCTTTATGGCTAAGTGAGGATTCACGAAGCCTAAAAGCAAGTGATGTAAGGAACGCTACGAGGTTGTTGGGTTTATAAACAAAAAGAAAAAAGAAAAAAGAGATATATGTAGAGGTACTAAAGCATATTGTGCACTGCTTCCCACGCTGTTTTGCAGACAGCTTTAATGTGTTGTACCAGACCAGTACCGACAACAGCAGCTTCGGCTTTTACGGCTGCTAATACTCTAAGCAATTACTGTGGCTCAGCGGGAACTTCTGCCCAGAATGGCAACTATCGCGCCATAATTCAATTTTTTTTCTTTTTTGTGGGAGCAGCTCCTCTTGAACAGGAAAGCACCTGCTAATGTGCAGAATTGCATAAATGGGACTTCAAGCGTTATTAGAGCTCAGTAGCTTAAAAGCTGTCACTTTTCCCTTAATATCAGAGTATTGTTCATAGCACAGTAATACCGAATTTGCTAGAGAGCAGGAGGAGGAGGAAGAAGAAGAAAACCCAAAGGCGGCGGCGGCAACAACAACAACAAAAACACTTTTAAAAAACGGGAAGCTGGACTGACTCCAAAAATCAAAAGGATGTGAGAAATTACCTGTAAGGAGAGAAACGGTACATAATTGCAATCTCCGGGGGGTAAAAATAGCAGACACATAAATATTGAAACAGGCTGTCAAAGTAACCGAGGAAGGGAAGCACAGTCCCCCATACTGCAGCCTTACAAAATTCACCAGAAGGGAGCGGGAGGAGGTGGAGGAGAGAGGAAGAGAGAGGCTCTGGTAGAAACAGATGGAGATTTACATGGATGAATAACGTGCCATCCAAAATGTGTGCATTATTTAGGTTAAAAATGATCGCTTCCCGACCTCAAAGCAACCAGAATGGAAGCTTTTTACATAAGGCTGCCTTCAGCTCTGGTGGCGGCTCTCGCAGACAGATCAAGCTAAGAGGAGATGTCTCTCCCGCGACAGGCTCGGGGCCTTCTGGGTATATACTACAAAGTCAGAATTAACAGAGGAATACACCTGGCATCTCAGCAAGAGGGCCATGCTCTTTCTTTTGATATGGTTAAGGAAACTAAATAAATTACAGCGAAATAACCTGTCTGCGAGTGCAAAGGGGAGTTTGTTCTAAGTCCACGCACTCCACAGCAGTGTAGCTCAGTGCACAAGGCCTCAGTGGTCCCTTTGGAAGGTTTGGGGAGAGGCCGGCATCCTACCTCTTACACCTGAGGATGCAAAACAGTTGGTGCTTTGCAAACCACAAGCCTCTAAACTGACCAAACAAAGGCCAACACGGTTTAGCAGCAATGGACGAAGCCTGCCAGATGTGGACAACCTCCCTGCCTTTGTAGTTACAGGAAGCAGGTGGTTTATCAAGTCCCTGGAAGGCCCTCCATCCACAGCAGGAGGGCAACAATGTGCTAAGTGTATTGCAAGCGACACGGTCCTGTTGCTAGAAAGGAGCAGAGGCAAACTCTGTGACTAGTGAAATCCTCCTATAGATGAGACAGAAGAATGAAGAAGAGATTGGATTTATACCCCGCCCTTCACCACCTGAAGGAGTCTCAAAGTGGCTTACAATCTCCTTTCCCTTCCCCTCCCCACAACAGACACCCTGTGAGGTGGGGCTGGGAGAGCTCTTTCGAGAACTGCCCTTGAAAGAACAGCTCTGAAAGAACTTATGGCTGACCCAAGGTCACACCAGCAGCTGCAGAGAGGAGAAAAGTCAGGGCGCACCAGAGGAGACCATGGCAAAGCTAGCTACGGATGCTTCCAGAAAGACCCTGCCAAAGGAGTCTCGAAGACAGGATTAACGGCTCAGCGATGGGGGAAGTTTATTCCATTCAGAGAGCGCAGCACATATATTAAAATACACAGTAAGGGTAGGAAGGGGAGACGAAACATTCAGAGAAGTCTAAGGATGCAGAATCAAACATGTCCCAACTCCAGGCCTGCTGGTTGGCCATATTTTAGGCATCCCCTTGGACAAGACCTATGCTCAAAACCCAAACATATGCGGGCTCAAGCCACACAGTCATTCCCAGTTTGTGTGTGTTCATGACTGCATGGTTTCAGATCTCAAGGGCCCAGATTCTGAAAGAAAAGGCAGTCTTCAAAATCATAGGTTGCTGACTTGCTTGAAGGCCAAATAAAACCACCTGAGTTGAACAAGCAAGCACGAATCCCTCCCTTACACACACACATACACACATAAACACAATCCAAGGACTCTACACAGTTACACCCAAGTTAAGGTTGCCGTTTTCTAAGTGGCTGCTGGAGATCTCCTGGGATTACAACTGATCTCCAGAATTCAGAGATCAGTTCCCCTGGAGAAAACAGCTGCTTTGGAAGGTGGACGCTATGACATTATAGCCCATTGAAGCCCCTCCCCTCACCAGGCTCCACCCCCAAAATATCCAGGAATTTCACATTCCAGAGCTAACAACCCTAATGATTATGACAAATAATCCCATTTTCCTGCAGTGACTTGTGACTGGCAAGCTATCCAGTACCAAACAGACCAAGTCAAACCAATGTTCTAACCCACGTTAATGCTCCCAGCATCGAAGCGGATAATGGGGCCTTTGTGAGAGTCATAACAACAAACAGGTCACAGGAACCAAGACCACAGAGAGCAGCTATGCCAGACAGGCCCTAGCAATAATAAAACCTCTGAATAATAATCTGAAAAGTGACCAAAAGGCACCCTCCAAGGAGAGGCTGGCATAAGACATCCAGAAAGAAAAAAGTTCCTTTTTGGAAAATGGACATTGATGCTTACCAGTTTGAAGTCTTGAATGCTACAGATGAAGTACGGGGTGTTTGGTCGGCGACTCTCAATGTACACACAATCTGTAAAAGAAAGAAGGGGGGGGGGAGATTTGATTTTAAATTTACGGCGATCAGTCTCTTCATCTCAGCAAAGAACGACCAACAGCATGTATCAGATAAATTCTGTACATCCAGAGAAGTACAAGGAAGTGTACTATAGAAATATAACCTGGTACAAAGGAAGAGGAGCCATGTATTATTGTTGGGCAAAAAGAAGAGGACTGGGCAAAATGTAAGGGGGATTCTCAGGGGTCTTGTGTCGTGGCAGCAAGCTAAGTCAGTGCTACCTCTTAATTAAGATGACACAGGGACCAGGTCACAACCTGTGAGTCATCCCAAATGAGACAGGAAACAGTCAAAATCCCTTGCAGCCAAATGGCTTTTAAAAACCCAAAGGAACTAACACGTAATCAAGGTGCCACATTCCCCTTGGTCGGAACAGGAGACTCCACAAGGACAGTGAGTGGGAGTGTAGCAGGTAGATGCACAATTGTTTGTTGTACTCTCCCCGCTAAACCCCAAAACGTGCCGTGAATTAAGAAATGCTGTGCAGACAAGATTCCAGTGGGTATTCATTGCAATATTTGTAACCCACCTTGTGACTGTAAGAGTGTGGGGGTTTTTGCTGTTCTCAAGGCAGCTAATGAGAAAAGAGAACAGCAAAAACCCACAGCCACAAAACTTCAAACATATGAGCACACAAAGCTTCCCCTTGACCGGAACAGACTCTTGGTCCATCAAAGTCAGTGTTGTCTACTCAGACTGGAAGCTGCTCTCCAAAGTCTCAGGCAGAGGTCCTTCACATCACCTACTGCCTCGTCCTTTTAACTGGAGACGCCAGGGATTGAACCTGGGAGCTTCCACATGCGTGAAACTGGAGGCCCCTTGGCCATCCCTGGATTTTGTGTTTGACAGCTTCAGCCAACTCTCCCAAGCCGACGTTGACGGGATTCTGGGTGTTGCTAGGCTAACCACATACCTCTAGAAAGCACAGGTTGAACCTGACAGCAAAACATTAACTAAGAAAGTAAGCCGAGTCCAAAGCTTTCGGGATTCTTGTCTAAATGAAGAGCTAGGGTGGTGGCAGTAAGAGCACATGGGAGACCTGGCACGCTGTCGGCATAACCCACCTCACAGGGCTGCCGCAAAAACAAAACGAGGGAAAGAAAACCATGCATACTGCCTTCTACTCACTGCGGGATTTTTAAAAAACGCATTAGATGGCCAGAAAGAGCATTTCCATTCGGGGCCGGGAAAGTAACTGACAACCACATAAGTTGACAAACCATTTGCCACCGGACAACCCAAGCGCCCGACCTCTAGGAATACTTAAGTCGCCTAAGGCGAATAAGAGCCACCTCCAGGGGAGGAGACAGTAAAGCTCCCATGCATGAGATGAGCATAGTTCAAGGAGAATTCTCCCTTTCCCCAGATGCAGATGTACCCAAAATGATTTACACTGGAGGACATGGGTAGGCCGCAATAGTAAAGGTGGCAGCTGGCAACTATGGTTTTGTACGCAAGACCTTAACTATAGCACACACACACACCTCACAAGCCCTCAACTTCAACAGCCAGCTCTGCTCTTAGGCAGGACGATGAAGATCAGGAGCGCAGCAACCACAGCATGCAGCTGTGCTGGCACTGCTGGGTTGAGCCCCCCATCTCCCTAACAGGAAAGCCCACAGACTAGACCAGGCCACCTCTGCCTTGGGCTCGCCTGCCTGTTCCGTTCCCCTCTTCTCCCTCAATCCTTGTACGCGATCAGGACAGGAAAGAGAGCGAGACGGAGGCCACTGCTCCATCCCCATGGCACACAAATAAAGCTCTTTTTAGCTCTGTTTCCATCCCATTTATTGAACTGCCCGGGAGCTGCAGATGGCTCCCGAGACGCCGCTCAGCCACTCCTTCGCTGGCTGCAGCTCTTCTTTTTCTATCTATCTCCCTCTCTGGAAATGAACATGCTGTTCTGCCAAGAGGCATATCTGTGAATAATCCGCATGCTGAAGATATTGCGAGCTCTCTCTCCTCTTGTTGCTTTAATACCTAATTGTTGCAGAAGTTAAAAAGCAGGGGGGGAGGCACAGAGAGAAGAGTCAAGCCACCGTGCTCTGTCTCCGTATCTCCTTTACAGCCGACATTTCTAAGGGTGGCATTATCTTCACAACAAAGTCTCTTACGTTCATGGAAATATGTCTTTCATCGCAGAAGATTATACGCCAGGAGCTGAAATTGAAGCTGTATGCCGAGGAATTAATTTCTGTGATCGCTGGGCATGGGGCGGGGTGGTGTGGGGGGGAAGAAGAACCCTGCTACCTCAAGAGATAAACTCTGCAGCTCCTTTAAGTGTGATGCTGCAAAATAATTCAACGGGAAGGGGAAATGCTCAAGAAATAAACTGACATTGCAGGATGAGTTTAGATAAGCAGAGCGTATTATCAAAGATGGAATTTGACGGAGCTTAAGTCTTCAGTTCTTCTGCGACAGGAACCATGGCTACGAGCGACTAAGAGTTCATCTGGGTGGGAGGGGGACATCAGATCACATCCGTGACGGAGGTGTGGGAGAGCAGTCGATACTACCGACACCTGAGTAACCAAGCAGGGGGTATATGCTGCACCCCATTCAAGGGGGCTGTGACTGCTGTACCGATTTGCATCCTTGTGAAAGATGGTTCAGAGGCACGGGCACTATGCTGCAAACAGAAATGGGGAAAGCCACAACTGAGGGCAGGGGGTAGGGCGGTCAACCTGGAGACAAAGCAGTCATTAAGCAGACAAAATGTCATTTATGTACAAGATGTGATCTGTTGCTTAAATCTGGTAGACTAACCATCAGCCATTAATTCAGCAAACCACAGTATATTGGGATGTGTGAATGCACTCTATTGGAGGAGGGGAAGGAGAGGGAGAAGAAGGGAGAGGAAGGAGTTGGATTTATATCCCGCCCTTCACTACCCGGAGGAGTCTCAGAGCTGCTTACAATCTCCTGTCTCTTCCCCTCCCCACAACAGGCACCCTGTGAGGTAGGTGGGGCTGAGAGAGCTCTCTCTCGAGGACTGCCCTTGAGAGAACAGCTCCGAAAGAACTTGTGACTGACCCAAGGTCACACCAGCAGCTGCATGTGGAGGAGTGGGGGAATCAAACCCGGTTCTCCCAGATTAGAGTCCGCGCTCCTAACCACTACACCAAACATGCGTTGACTTCCTCCTTCTCGGGACTGGAGGAGTGGGCAGAGGTAGGATAGGTAGCTGGATTCTTTCTAGCTGTACCTGAGCACTCCCATTGGAGCTCTCAGCATCTCAGGTTGCACCTAAGAAGATCCAGGGGCAAAGGAAATATTTTACACGTTGGTGAGTTGCCCAGGTTGTGTCACAAGAAAATCTGACACCATTTACTCCATGGGTGAATCTCTTATGTATCCATTCTGTATGATCAGTCCTATGTATGCCCTGCTAGTATGTTACTACCAGGAAACAAATTTCTGGCACAGCAGAAAGGAGACTGCCAGATACACCCTGGAATCACTGACCCCAAATTTATGGTGCGGTCCCTTGAAAACCAGAGTTTACAGAGTTTTGCTTAAATCCTCTTGGCTCAGAAATACGGAAGCTGGAACTGCCATAATTTCCACCCTGGGCATAAGGGATCCACATAATTCTAAGAAAAGTGAGACTGGGAAATTATTAATGTATTTGCTCAAAAGGAAGATGCTCTTAAATGCAGAGGTGTGGGAGATTATGTTCATTGTTGGCTTGAATGCCCGAAACTAGAGCTGTTTTGGAAAGAAATAATAACTCAGGTTAACAATATAACTGGTTATGAATTGCAATGCACAGTGGAACATATACTACTAAATAGATGGCAAATGCATATACAATCTAGTAGTACTATGAAAAGAATAGCTATTTTGTTGGCAGCAGCCAAAAATGCAGTAGCCTTAGTTTGGAAAGACACTAAAAGTCCTCAACAACATCATTGGCATGCTAAACTTTGGAAGTTCTATATAACGTCAAAAATAACAGAAAATGTAGATGGAAGAGATGTATACAAATCTTTAGATCACGCTATGATTTGGTTCCCTATTGTGAATTATTTAATTGATCAGGGTGAAATCCCTACTACAGTTAATGACTTAAACCTATGGTAAGATGTGAATGTCTCATTGATCTGAAAAATGTAACATGATACTGTAACTCTGAAAATGTAATACCCTTTTTAGCAACTCTAGCACTCTTTTCCTGTATATTCCAACTTACCAGTTTTGTTAATTGTTATTTTTCTTTGCATTTATTAAAAAATGTTTAAAAAAGGAAGATGCTCTTGAATGTAAGATGATCCTGCTTAAAAAATAAAGTTACTCACAAAAAGTTTTTGGTGTGTTTTTTTAAATTACTGTACAAAATTGTATCTTGTTTGCAAATTTAAGATGCCTCCCCTCTCTTTTTCTTGATGGCACATGCCGGGGATCAAAGCTCATCTTCCTTTCAGGTACTCTCTGAAGCATCCTTAACAAGAAATTATTTTCCATTTGGCCTCAAGATTACTTTTACTTTGCAAGTTCCCACTCAACCCCTCTCCCTATGTGGCTTATATCACTAGCTGCAAGATGCCAGAGCCCACTTGTAAAAGCACTGGAAACCAAATACTGCTCCTCAGACGGCCCACGACAGAGCAGAGGCTGAAGTGGTGGCATCCCTTGGCAGTACTCTTCCGGGGAAAGCTGAAGTGCTATAGCTCCAAAGCCAGCACAGGTAACGAAAACCTTCCCCCTTATTCCTGCTGCAGAAAATTCCCTGCACAGAACAGATTTGCACAGGCCAAAACATTCTTTTCATTTATTTCTTAGACGGAGGTCCCAGCTTTATTTTACCCTCACAAAAGTCCTTGTGAGGTTCAGACAGTACTGCTGTCTTCCATCTTCCTCCCTTGTTGTTTTAGGAGTCTGGGTGACCAGGAGTCGAGGATTCTTTCCAGTACTGTGGGTAAATAAGGAAGAAGACCACACCAAAATGTAGAGGA